TGCCTTTTTTTTAAATAGTTTTTACTTTTCGACAATTCTCTTTTATCCTATAGTGCTTGATGAATATTTATTTATCATAATACAGAATCCTTACAGAACCGATTCTAACAATATGTCATTACTAAATATGCTCAAATGGATCAGTTCGATATCAAGAACAGTACAGTGTCTTATTAATAAACAAGAATATCCTATCAACAAAAAAGAAGACAATAACGACATAAAGATATGAAGTATTACATTGGTTGTGACTGTATTTGTAGCGAAAATTCATTATTGTATACATCACTTATAAATAGAAATTTTGCTTAGCCGGGTATAGGATATGAACAGAAAAACCTCGTCTAGACTCTTAACCTATACCAAGTATTCCATAGAGTCTACCTCATTCCCATCGACTATTACTAAATCGTCGAAAACTTTCAAAGTTTGTACATCTTGTAGACATAATCTTATCCATTAGACTACTTTCTTAAAAATCTCATTCATAAATACGTACACACCAAGGACGATATTTTCTATAGTTTTTGAGTATAATTGCAAAAATTAAGATTTTGTCGGAAATGATCCCATACAAGAATCGTTCAAATTAAATGTAGGAAGTATTAACTATATATACATATCATACAGGGTGTCCAGAAAGTAATGAAATCAACTCTGTAAAAAAAAAGTTGGCCGACTAAACCTTTTAGGGTTCTCGATTTGGGTACCATTTTAAGAACCTTTTTTAGTTCTAGCCGAAGGTGCTGAACTGTTTAAAGTTCTAGCCAGAAAATCTAGAGCTTTTTTAAGTTCTAAATTTTTCGGCTAGAACTATAAAAAAAGGTTCTTAAAATGGTACCCAAATCTAGAACCTTAAAAGGTTCAAGGCTTGTCTAAAACCTTAAAAGGTTCACTATGACACCAATTTTTTTTAGAGAAGAAAAGTTTGAATACATATCTCCGTCATATTCTGACCAAATGGGTTGATATTTTGACCGTTGATAAAGAAGCATTCATAGCTCATATTCATAAGGAAAACGTTGTCAAAAATCGTTTTGAGGTAGTCCAAGTAACTTCAACAGAAAATTGTAACCTTTCACGAGTTATGTAAAATCAATATTGAAGTTTTGTCAATGGCTGAAACCTTCAGAATACATTGAATAATGAGACATGTATCTGTAGTATAAGTATGAGACCAAACCAGACTTGTGTGAAGATGTAATCAAAAAACTTGCATATCGTTTATTCTTGGCTAACGGAATAAATATATTACCTTTTTCATAACTTGGAAAATGTTATAATTTTTTGGTGAAGTTAATTGTACTACTTCAAAACAATTTTTGATAACGATTCCCTTATCAATATGGGTTTTGCATACTTCTTTATCAATGGTCAAAATATCAATCCACTAAGTCAAAATATGGCGGAGATATGCATTCAAACTTTTCTTTGCTTTGTTACTTTCT